TTAGCTGGCAGCTCTTTCTCGGCGGCGGAAGACGTACGGAACGCTCACTCCCCGCGTCCCCCGGCGTCTCAGCGGGCGAGCAACCCCCCCCCCCCCCCTCCTAGCTCGTCGGGGACGCCGCGGCGGGGGGCACAGGAAGGCCAGCCGCGACAAGGCCGCCTCCGCCGCTGGCCCGACTCCAACGACACCGGCGCTCTCAAATATGGAGCCCCGGCGCAGAACCACCTTGGCCTCGGCGAGATACGTCTCGCGTATTTTTGGGGCCTGGCCCGCGGTTGCCGACCCAAAGCTCTAATGCGACAGGTGCACGCGGGGGGTCCCAGCGCCGAGCCCGCGGTCACCCGTCGCGGATATCGGCCCCCAGCCGGTCGTTAGCCCACCCACCTGCACTCGCGGGTGCCTCCGACGTCTCTGACATACTCCTGCAGACACACGCTCTCTTTTCAATCTGCCTCTCATGCAAGTTGAACAAGGCTGTGTCATAACGGGCGCTCTTCTCAGTAAGCGCACAGCCTCGAGCTTGAGAAAGAAATTACGCATGAGGTATACAAAGAAAAAGCTCACACCTCAGGAAAACTTCGCGGCACAAACGAAAACAGGACAGTCAGCTCAAAGCGAAATCCTGCTCGAAGGAAATGTTCCGTGAAAGTCATTACAGAGTTAAAGAACTGTGGGAGTGGTCGCGCTGGTGCATATAACATGCTTCAAAATTAGTAACGCAGCAAGGACACCAGAGGGAACAGAGGAAAGTCTGTAACAGAGCGCTCCTCTGATAGCTATGAGATATTCCTCTAGGCAATTGAAAACTCACGACAGTGAGTACGCACATCATGCAGAAACAAAAAGGCATGCAATACGCGCCCTGAAAGGCAGTTCTGCAGCTCAGACACTTGGTTATCTTGCGATTTCTTGTCACCGAAACGGGCGTCCTCCCACTCCATTCGTGAGCTGCGACTCCCCACGTGAACGCTTGCCCACATGGGCACGAAAAGACGGTCACCCGACTGACCGCAATCCTGGACACCACAGCACACAGCTCCGATATATGACCTGGAAGTTCGCGAGCATTTTGGCGCGCGGCGACCTTAATTCACTTTCGGCCTTCATCAGAGATCGCTGAAAAGAAAAGTGCCAGCGACGTTTTCAAGACCGGCGAGATGTTACGATAGTCCGCTCAGCTTAATCATGCCTTATCTGTCATTTCAGCTTCCTCCCATAAGCCAGACCGTACACATGGGCTTCTTTGACCAAACCTTTGTGAAGACAAAATCTTGCTGATACACAACCTCATTTATGTGGTATACCAAACACGATAAACCCACCAACGACGTCGCTCACAACAACAACAACAAAAAACAGCTATCTGGCGCTTCTGCAAATCATATCTCATTTGTAATTGCGCGTGCAATCGCCGTGGCAAGCGCGGACGTCCACAAACAAGTTTGTGTCTGGCACGTTCGCGGCCTCCGAATCTCCGCGCAAACGTTGGGCCATTTTCCATCGGTTGTACTCCTCGCTGCACGAGGTCACGCGAATGCTCTAACCAAATGCACCGTGGCGGTAGTTGGCGCGGCAGCGTGCGAAGGCATTTCTGCTGCAACTCGGACTTCTATGACAGCACGTGAGCTGCAGAATACAAAGACTCTGCACAATGAAACGGCGTTTGACGTCCGCGAATGGCGGAGGCGCGCGAACACATCACACAGTGACGACGAGCGGATGCTGTCGCAGCAGGCCGCAGCTATAGAACAATATTTGCTCACTGTGGCAAAAACGCGATAGCGCCGGTACGTCTTGGGTGACTTCAGCGATTTCGAAGTACTTCAGTACATACGCGTGCCGTTCCCGCGAGCAGGAAAAGTCGAGGGACCTTTGCTACAAGTACAATTGTTTTCGCTAGCATAGCGTGTATTCCACAAACAACAATCAATGAGTTATGTAGACCGTCAAGGTATACATAGGATGTCACAGCGGAAACTCCCGACGTCATGACCATCTGTTTTGTTTCCCCCCCCCCTTTTTATGGCATTTTTTTTCACAATTTTCGTGGCCCTTTGTTTGCCGCTGTCATATTTACAACCTTAGTCAAACACAAATAATCCACTTATAACAAATAATTGCGTAAATTGTACACAGCTAGCATTAACTTCCGTTCGAAAGCGTGGCATTTTTTTTACCTGGGCCCTTCGGACAACGCGGGCCAGCGCTGGTACAAAGGACTAATACTACGACGACGATGCATCCAGGGATAAAAAAACGTGAACGTCAGTAGTATTTCCCGCGAGAGACGGCGACCACCGTCTAAGTAGAATAATTCTCGTGTCTGACCAATACCATAAGAGGGCACATCACATAGAAATCAGTATGTTTTTTTTTTTTTTTTTGCATGAATAAGGGGCTGTGACAAGCTACGCCCTTCGACTTGCACGGCACCGAGAAAGTCAAAACGAGGCGCAACTGCTTGCACAACTTCGGTTCTCCTCTATATACCACCAGTGGTCAGACAGTCCGTGTGCAGACAGTTTTCCTGCTATGAACTTCCCGAGTCTATGACCTAATCTGGTATCCTCCCGCCGAGTCAAGCCCCGAAAGTGGTGCTGGTACTTTTCGCGGCCATTCGCTGTGACGTCCGACGACGCACAAGGGCCCAAGCTGTCGCCCCGCCGCGTGGATCGGATGACTGCCGAGTCGGCTCGGGTCGCCGCGAGGGTAGGCCAAATATGCGGCCGCCCCGGCACGCGACTGAGATCCCTTGGTGGGCGCCGCAGACGATCTTCTTGGCACCCGGCATCACTCCGCGCTCATGCGAGAGCGCGCGGCAGACGCCGTTTCTTCGAACATTCCGGGCAGATGCACCACACTGCGTCGAGAAGGCGTAACTTGGCAAACAACTCTCGCAGCTGGTAACATATAAGCCCACCACCTGCCGCGATACGAGGGTATCAGCTCCTCATCCGAGGCACTCGTGGGAAATGAAAGGCGAAAATTTCACCCGTCCACTGCAGCTCTGATAAACCTGTTCGATGAAGGCAAGGCATCTGCGTTCAAGCTAAAAAGACGCGACCTAGAGAAAAGGTCAACAGGAGACAGACCGACCCCGGCAGGCCGCGGAGGGCCGGAAATGCCTCGCTTTTTTTCTTCGCAAAGCGAGCAGTCGAGTCAAGCAGCACGATCCCGCGGCCTCGATTCGAAGCTGTGATTCCTTGTTCGCGGCGCCCAGAATTGCCGCCGTTTGTTCGTCCACAACATTCGGCACTGCGCACCACAAACGACGCGCTTCTGGTTGCGGCTTACGTAGTACCTTTGAACAGAGGAATGGCGAAGAGGAGTTGGACCGGGACGCGGAAAGAACCTGCCGACGGCAAGGTTGGCAATTAGATCTCAATTAACAGTAAGCAAACCAAACATTTGAAAAAAAAAAAGTCAGGCATGTCATTCCACTGACAGTGGCCTTTGAAATACAGGTTTGCATTCTGTTGTATTCCCAGTGGTTTGCGTCCTCATACAGGAATATCCGCAACAACCCATTATCATGTTATTCGAACTTTTTTTTATCGCTTTCAGCACGCTATGCATGTACTGAGCGCAGCGGACAATTTGAATAAACGGTCGGAAATCACAGCAGGGCATCCAATGGCCGGCTTTTATAACCAGTGGCGACAAGGAATGAGGCACCTGTGAAATCTTTACGGTCCCGAGTACAGACGCGGCTGTGCACTCGTCTCTGGCCTCCCCACTCAAGAGTTTTACGGTTGTATTCTGAGAAAAGAAATTCGTCTCTCGAAGTTAGTCGAGTATTTTGGTTAGTCCAATCTCGCAAGAAAAATCTAGTAAAACACCATTCACGGTGGTGAACCCTTCAGGCCCCATTTTGACGGCCCACAGATGCTTCGCAATGCTGTCACTCCTGTCCAGTCTAAAAGAAAAGCCGACCAAAAGAATCCAAGCAATATTTTGAAGGGAACTGAAATGCGAATAGATGTAATGAGAAACGAGTTTTGAGACACAAAAATTGTTGAGGGCGCGACTATACGGTTCAGTAGCGAAAGAAAACAAAGCTCTGGTTCGCGACCATTCTGACATAACAAACATATTTAAGAAAAAAATCACCACATGCGCACTCTTTTCCATGCACCACTCTTTTAACAGTAGGCGGTCACACCACATAACAGATACGGAAAAGAAGAAAAGGTGTCTACCGCTGCATGTGTTCGGTCAGTAAGCCAGTCACAGCAGCCAAAGCACATGGGTTATTCCGCGCATTTTAATTGCCCAATATTGCCAAGGCATGAATTTACTTCGTCATTAAGCTTGCGCACATTCGCAAGAGTAAGTCTGGATAGGGACACACTACTGACACGACGTGGCATCGTTGTTCACGGATGGCTATGAAGCGCGTGAAAAACGTTGCCACCAGGAATGACACTCGTTACATGATGACCTGGCGGTGGTCGTTGATGAAAGACGCGGCGTACCACGAACTGAACATACTTATAGTGTGGAACTTGGGCAAGTCGTGAAAGACGTCCCAGCACGCATGCCGAAACACTACTATCCTTTACCACGCAGGTATCGATCGCTCGTGTGACAAGGGGAAGAAAACAAGCGAACTGGCTTCACTTTTCGCTTGCATCACACTTCCGGCGTGGTACGAATCACACGAGATTTGACACATTTAAACGTAACAAGCCACGCAGCATCGAATTATCTTATTCGATCATTTTTTTTTTTCACGCTAAGACACGAAAACAAGTGTAATCGGCTACAACAAACATACACAAGAGGGAAATGTACGAACACTCCCGTTTCGGCATATAACCTAAGATTTAGAACACCTTCACACGTAGAGATAACATTGAAGAAGTATACACGGCCATTCAAGTAGGAGAATAGGGCACGTTTTTTTTTTTTCCTTTCTTTCATATTAGTCGCATCTAGGTACGGCACGTTTTATGAATGTTGGAGCGAAATGATGTTTTACATGGAACACGTATTCTCACCTTGCGCATTTTTGCAGTCTCGGGGCACCACCACGTACTCGTTGGAACGCGTTCCCAAGTCCACGATCGTCACTGTGCGGCAACGGAAGAACTGCCGACGTCCCCTGGCATGGTTGTAGCGACTGCCCGATTTTTATTGTTGTTGGAAAAATAACTCCACGACAGCGAAGAGCAGTTCCGGCGGAGTCCGTGCTTAGTTTACAGTATCGCGGTGCGATGTACGCGTGTCAGGCGGAGAAGCGGACTGCGACAGTAAGAGTTCCAGGCTCGAGCAACAGACGGTCAGACGGCTCCATGTTTGCATCCGTGGCGGCTCGTACCCAAGCAGAGAACGACGGATAGAGGTGGATGCCTTCTCACCGAGAGGACGCAGGCGGCAGGCTTCGAGGCGACACGCACAACGAAGAGGCTCGGGCCGAAAATGTAAGACGCCCCAGAGCTCGCCAATGAAGCGACACACAACCGCTCACGGCACAGCCCCACACAGCTGCCGCACTCGTCGAAACGCTCCACGACTCCGGAGCAGGGAAAGCCGGCGGGAAAATCCGCGCGGGCGCGCTGGCGACCAGCCTGCAAGTGTCACGTGGCTTATGACGTTGCTGAAAAGCGGGGACCGTCTCCTCATCTCCGCTGGTACGTGTGATGGTTGCGAGGAGTTCACTCTCTCGCATTGCTTGTAAATTTACGAGCGCGCGTGTTCTTTGTGGCGACCAGCGCTCGAAGGGACGCGGCTACTTTAGGGCGTATCTCCACGAATGTCTACAGCGAAGACGGGATGAATACATTAACTAAATCGGCAGTTGCTCGTCGAGACGTCGGCAACCTTGTGTACAGTGAAATAACAATAATAATAAGCCGCGCCCTGCTTCACCCAGTAGGTTCGCCGACAGCCGATGAGCCGTGTGAACGACGCTTTGTCAGAGCAGCGCATTTCGCAATGCTCGGGTTACTTGATGCGGCCGGCTCGGATTGGAAGTTCTGTCCTTGTGCGTCGCATGCATGTCATCTACTCGACGGGAAATGGGATCTCGGCCTTTTCTGAACACCACCCCACATGCCAGCCGAGACGGCGCGAGATGGTATGCGGGCACAATATAACTGCGCAGTGCGCATGCTCCGTGCGTCACTCACGTTTTGCTGTCTATGCAGCCAACTATACGGCTTATCTATCAAGAAATATGACGTGTAACATAAATTTCGCTGCACTGTTTTCTTAGCGAGATTCTTGACATTCAACGGAACACTTTCTATTCATTATTTCAACCCCTGTCTCATGCTCATTTGTCAGTACGAGCTGTCAGATAAGCAGACATGCGTGGCGACGTTGCCGGGGAAAATGAACCGCAGGTTGTGTTCCTTCAAGTGCTTATTTTGCTATGTGACACGCTAAAGCACATAATTTAGCAGTCAATGTTCTAAACATAGCACGCACTCTTTATTTATTTTTCTTGGCTGATAAAAAGAGTGCGAGCTTGTTTGGAGAGAGCTGAAGTGCAAGGAATTCCAATACGTTACTTGTAGAAAACAAAAACAAAGACCAAACTCAGAAAAGAAAGAACGGTGTGTGCAGTGATATTACTTGAAAAAGAGTAGTAAACAAACAAAGCAGTCGGGACCAGCGGAACAACAAAACAAAGATAAAATAAAATTCAGAGCTGCCGCGTTCGTATATATTATAAACATTTATAAGAGTTAAAAGAGTGATCATTAACAGAACAAAATAAAGTATGACAAACGTTCAATGAACATACTGTACACAAACAAAAATGGAAAAGCTTCGGCGCGCGCGCGTGTGTGTATGTGCGTCTTTATTACCATGACTGCCGCTCTTAGGTGCCGACAAAATAGTTGGGCGCCGCGTCATTCTCCGTCTTAATGGTTCTGGAGGTTTTGTCCTCGTCGAGTCAATAATGTATTCAGGCCGGCCTCTCGCAACGACGAGGTTAACAATGCATCCGAAGGGTTTTCAAATTTCGCTTGATGTCACTTTTATCCTGCAATGCTTTGATGCGGCGCTCAGACCTACACTCTATGATGACGTGGCTGTTGTTAAATGGAAAGTGCCATTACAAAAGGACGGACGATCTTTAGCCGACGATTCGTAATGACGTTGGTACGAAAACAACGGGATTTATATTTGCAGAATAGCTAATTGTATGTCAATGGTCTAAACAGAACTTCTAGATTTATATTGGCGCCGAATGTTTCACACGAAATTCACGTCGCATGACTGTAAAACGATATAATCACAAACATTTGTGTACGTAGTATAGTCTACCTGCATGCTATTGTGTGCGCCCAGTGTCTATGTATGTTTAATTAATTATTATTGCGATAGATTTTATATGGACAGTCTTGGCTAATTTTTGCCATCACCGCCACCGTCATTCACGTATATGTATATGTATGTATATAAATATACGGGGAAGAATGCGGCAGCCTTCTCTTTCGGTGGAGCGAACATCGCCTTTCTGGCTGGGCTCGTCTGCGTGCCCACTTATCTCGCCAACGAACAAGGTAGGGGGAGGGGTGCTTATGGTTGCCCCGCTATCGCGGCAACAATCAGCGTGCGCCTTGCGCCCCCACAGCAGGTGGGAGCTTCTACGGGCTACCTTCTCAACACGAAAAAGTGGTGCCAAAAGGATGCCTGGAGCGGCCGTGTTCTCTTACGCCAGTGTTCTGTAGAGTTACGTGAGATTATATCTAAATGAGTTGACTGCCAGCCTCACTTTGTATATCAACGCTGTCACTATACGCATGAGCCTTGTTGTGGTCATCTGAAGTGGCTGCGCAGCAGGAAACTTGGTTACTTAGCAAGCGCATGTTTACCGTGTGTAGGCACTAGGGGTATACGTATACGTGCCGGTATCGATACCGGTGGCATCGGAACGTTCGTGCCACCAATGATATCAGTATAGTGCACGCACATTGTCAGTGTCGCCGTGCTGTGGTATACCCGTGGTCGCTCGATGTCATGCACCACTTCAGCGCGGTGACAAAGGGAACCTTCTCCAAGGCAACTTTCACACGGGAACGAAGTGTTGTCAAGCTGCCTGAAGAAAGCTTCTTTCTCTCACTTCTTTTGATCTGTATTGCTCATAAAATAAACAATTACTATAATTTTTTCTTATTCAGGCTGCTACCCGTTCTGAGATGGAATCGTTCACGCCGCGCCTCTGATCGAAGACGGCGCTCGTGCATGTGAACTGGATTTTGGATAAGCGGCACACGACGCACCAGCTTTCTGGCACCACTGTTCAGCCGCCACCCATCACACAAATGCAACATCACAAAACGGCAACGAGAAAATGCTTCCCGCGAAAAGAAAAAAGATCGCATTTTTCTTCTCGGTGAGAACAACAGTACGAACAAGCACCGACGTTTTTTATTGTTTTGTTTCTAACTTATTTTCGACGGCGCAAAGTCACCCAAACCAGTGTCAGAGTCAGGAGACCATTTTGAGCGTTCGTTACTTTTTTACTCGGCTTTCAAAGTGACCCCGAACGGGCCGAAAAGGGTGAGCCTACGTGCCTGTTTCTTTGGTTGCGTTCTATTTTCTTCGGTGCCGAGTCATCGCAGTTTAGGTCTTCGAGACTCGAGACATTGATCCCTTCCTGTTTTCTGTCTCAACTTCTTCAAGATGGACGCAGAGCGCTGTGTGCATGTGGAGCGATCCGGACCCTCACTCGGCACCCGAGGCACTAGTGGGTGCGAGAATGGCTTCAGAGCCTTCCAAAGCCGTTACCCCGTCGGCACTCTATAAAACCTAAAAACGAGGACAGCAGGCCGACGTCCCCCGCGAGTCTTCTCTGGGGTGGAAACCACCACCGAGCGTTTCCCGGGACACCATCAGCCGCCGACGCATTGCACATTTCCGGCAAGACCGCAGCGGATCCGGAAGGAGCGTAGTCTTCGATGGTCGCTCTTCGTGCACCGCCATGGGGAATGCCACGGCCCATTTTGTACTTCTGTACAAAATGCATTGACAGAGGAAAAAACACAGGCAAGAGTCACAATGGCTCATTGGCCCACTCGCGTGCCTGTCAGCTGTCCACCCTGCAGAGCGAACATCGCCTCATTTCGCGTACTTAGTGAGCGAACATGGGGAGGGGGGAGGGGCGCTTATGCATGGTTGCCGTGCTATCGCGGCCACGAGCAGCGCGGCTCTTGCAACCTTAGCAGGCGGAGGCTTCTGCGGGCTGCGCTCTCAACATGAAAAAAACGGAAAGTGTACCTGGAGCAGCCGTTTTCATATAGATGCGCTCTACACATATCAAACTGCCACTAGCGTCGACGCACGACGTATGGCCCTTAGTACCAGCATGCGCTGCCCACGGAAGGCGCTTCTCATCAACGCCGTCACTACGCACGAGCCTTGTGGTCATCTACTGTGGCTGCGGCACAGGAAATTTGGTTACTTAGTAAGCACATGCTTACTACAATTAACATTGCTCCTAAACATGTTAGCCTTACTTCGTAAAACATTCGAATATGTTGCTATCGCATTCATTGCTCCGACCTTTTGGTGAAACTGTGACTTTTTTTCTAACACAATTTGTCCTACGTCTTTCAGCATATCTGGCGTTATCTGCTCCTCCCCAGCAGCTCTGCTTCTGTGCATTTCCTCCAAGGCTTTTCTGACTCTTTCTGTCATTACTATAGTGGGATGTCATTTGGGTTTCTGCTAGATCTTACATTATGATCGTGGCTGTCCCGGCTACTGTATACATTCCTGTAAAATTCATCTGCTACTTTAACTATCCTATCCATATTGGTAGTTATTGCGCCTTCCTTGTCCCTGAAATCTGGTTTTTGCCCATCCTAAGTTTTCTCTTCATCGCTTTGACGCTTCTTCCGTTCTTTAGAGCATGTACAATTCTCTCCATGTTATACCTTCTTTCATTGGATACCTTACGCTTATCAATCAACTTCGAAAATTGCGGTTCTATGTTGTCTGTTGTGTTTCAGGCTTTCATGCTTCGATGTTTCTTAATGAGGTTCTTCGTCTCCTGGGACAGCTTGCTTGTTTCCCGTCTATAACTATCATACCTCCAACTTCCCCTGCACACTCCGCAGTGATACTCGTCAGATTTTCATTAATTGCACCAACGCTAAGGCAGGTGAGAGCCGAGTATCTGTTCTGAAGCGAGACTCTGTACCCCTGTACTGTCCCTCTCAGTGCTATAGCTCATTCATTGGCTTCTTGCGTATCGGTTTCTGTCGTTCATTTTTCAAGTCTAGGTGAATTCGAGACCTTACCATTGTATGGTCACTGCATAACACTTTGCCAATCACTTGCACATCCTGCACGATGCCTGGGTGTGCACTCAGTATAAAGTTTATTTCGTTCTTACTTTCGCCATTAGGGCTCCTCTATGTTCACTTACAGTTCACTCGTTTTCAGTAGAAGGTATTCATGATCCGTAAATTATTACGTTCATGCAAATTCTACTAACAACTCTCTTCTGACATTCCTATTGCCGATGCCATAATTTCCTACTGCCTGGTCTCCAGCCTGCTT